TGTGTGTGTGTGTGTGTGTGTGGTGTGTGTGTGTGTGTGTGTGTGTGTGTTGTGTGCGAGATAGAGAGAGAGGTTGTGCGTGTTTGTGTATGTCGTGTCGTGGACAGAGACAGAGGGGAACCAGGAGGAGAGTGTGTAGGTGTCAGAGAGAGGGGTGTGTGCGCGGCGGGCGTGTGTGGTGAGTGAGAGAGAACCTGAGAGGGACGTGTTATGTGTTGAGACGAGAGAAGAAGAGAACCTGAGACAAGCGAGTGTTGTCATTGTCTGAGAGACGAGAGAGAGAAAGAGAGGTGTGTGTGTGTGTGTGTGTGTGTGAGAGAGAAGAGAGAGAGAGAGAGTATGGTGTGTCTAGTGTTTGTGTTTGTTGTGTGTGTGTGCGTGTGTGGTGTGTAGAGAGAGTTAGAGGAGAGAAAGAGAGAGCGAGGTGGTGCGTGTTTGGTGTTGTGTGTGTGACAGAGAGAGAACCAGAGGGAGTCGTGTATCGTGTCAGAGAGAGAGAGAAAGACGAGAGAGAGAGAAGAGACAGAGAGGTGTGTGTTGCAGCAAGCGCGGGTGTGTGTGTGTGAGAGAAGGAGAGAGGTGTGTCTATGTGTCTGAGAGAGAGGTGTGTGGTGTGTGTCGTGTGTGTGTGTGAGAGAGAGAGAGAGAGGGGCGTGTGCGTGTTTGTGTTGTGTGTGCGGACGCCCACACCAGAGAGAACCAGAGAGGATGTGTATGCGTGTCAAGCGAGAGAGAGAGGAGAGAACCCAGAGAGGGAGGTGTGCGCAAACGCGTACTGTGGCAAATGAGAGAGAGAGAGAGAGGGAATAGAGAGAGAGATGTGAGCTGTTCTCATCTGTGTGTTGTGTGTGTCGCGTGTGTGTGTGTTGTCGTTGTGTGTGATGTGTCGTGTGTGTGTGTGTGTGTGTGGAAGGGAAGTGAACCAGCGAGGGAGGTGTGTGTGTGTCAGAGAGAGAAGACGAGAGAGAGACGAAGAGGTGTGCCGCGCGGCGGCGTGTGTGTGTGGGTGATTTGTTTGGAGGAGGGAACACTAACGTTGGCACGCACGAGCTGACCTGAGCAAAAAGCCGTTTGGGGAGGCCAACGTTGGCGCATATGCACCTTGCGCCAACAGTGTGTTGGCAGTATGACGTTGGGGCCAACGTTGGCGTATGAACCCTTGCGTCCAACAGTTGGCCAGTCATGACGTTTGGCCAACGTTTGGCAGTATGAACGTTTGCGGCAACGGACATTGGCAAGTTACATGACTGTGGGGCGTTCAAGGGAACGGTCGTACAACGTGGCTAATGCGGGAGCGTGGGCCAAACGTTGGCCAGTATGCGACGTTGGGGGGGCCAACGTTGGCCCAGTATGACGTATGCGCCA